CAAAGCTCTTTGCCACACAGCAGTTCTGTTGACACACTATAATCAATAGTTTGGATCCTCTCCAATTGTTTTGGTAAGGTCTGTGGGTGTGTTTTCCAGCACTACTGAAGAATTGCTGTGGGATGTGAAAGTAGATTACAAGTGTTTTTGCAACTGCCCAGGTGGGGGCTATTTCTTTAATTTACACAGGGCTTCCTAATGGTAGTGGTTCTGCTTTTGGAGCTTATTCTTTTGGTGGTTGCTATCCCTCTCCCCCCCGCCTCAAAAAACAAAAAAGGCAGCACTGAGAATTAAGAGAAGTTTCCTTGCTCTCCAGCATCCTTGTTTATCGTTTGCAATTTTATTTAATGCATGCATCTACAGCATGAATCAGATCAGAAAAAGGAGTCCTTATGTGTATAACTGCAGCAAGACTGCTTTTATCAAGGCACTATAAAGGCATTGAGTGGAGAGAGAAGTATCTGTGAGGTTGAGAAACTAAAATCTGTGGCAAGCTTAACATGTTTGATGTTCCATTCCAAATTCAGAAACGAAACAGAAATCTGACAAATTCCTAATGTTTAAGGTGCCCAGAAAAATTCTGATGGAGAGAATCTTGAGAACTTCCATACCAGTCTCAGGCAGAATTCAGGGGTCACTTAAGTCCTTTGGCAAAGCACAGTTTCTTTCCATTTCCTTCTGACCTCTGTCCCCCATGGCTATGTGAAGTGCAGATCACTAATGTTATACAACATTTTATATATATATGTATGTATGTATGTATGTATGTATGTATGTATGTATGTATAAGGAAGGATAAAAAATGTTGAATAATTTGACTCAGATTAATGGCAATTATGTCTTTCTATGGGAGCAGATTATGAAGATTCAAGATGGCATTATAGACAACCCTACAGGCCACAAGAAAGTATGTTTTGCTTGTTTTCTAATTCATGCAAGAAATGGTAATATTGAACCATATTGCACTAAATCACATAATGAGACATGATTAAAGGTTCTGGGGCCTCATTCCTTGATCTAGGGAAGAAAGCCCTTTTCCTAAGGGACTAGATACCTCAAAGCAAGGGCACTGAATAATCTTTACATCCTTACCACACATGCTCCTTAACAACGTACAAACAATGCATCTTACTTTAATTCTGAAGCAATGGTCTGGTCTTGTCATTGCCTCATTATATTATTGCATATGTCATGTTTGCGGTATGCATGTAGCCTATAAATAC